TCGACTGTTCACATTGCTCGCCAACTATTAGTGTCAATTTTTCATCCCGGAAAAAGAATATCAAAAATGATAGCAACAAGTCAACACCGCTATGCAAAATTGCTTACTGGGTACGTATGATATCAAGTATAAGAACACCACCAAACAGTGAAATGCAGATGTTCTCTCACGACTACCCCTGGATTCTGTTGATATTTGACACCTTAAACAATTTGATACACTATAAGTGTAACAAGTTGTTATGTGAGAATGCATAGACACAGACCAGATGCTCCTGCAAGTATACAAGCGGCTATGAAAGGATGGCATCTTCATTATAACGATCTCGGCGCTTTCTACCAGTGTAAAGATGAGATAACCGTGTATCAGGGTTATCTTATGTGGGGTATATGAGTAATCGTCCCAACAAAACTTTGTGCTAGAGGAGCTACACACTGGTCATCAAGGGGTAGTCAGAACGAAGGCACTTGCTAGAAGTTGCATATGGTGGTCAGGCATCGAGCATATGACCAAACAGTGCCCAAGATATTAAGAACACTAAAGTATGCCTGGAGTTGCATCACTGCACCCCTCGAAGTGGTCGGAATCACCATGGCAACGAATTCATGTAGATTATGTTGGTCCATTTCAAGAACAAATATACACTAAAAGTAGCTAGAAGTTGTATGGATTACAACGACAACCGCAACCAAAACAATAGAACTACTAAGTACTCTATTCGCACAAGGTCTTCCGGAAATTCTAGTAAGTGATAATGACTCACAGTTCCTATTCAAAGGGTTCAAACACTTCATGAAGCACAGCGAAATAAACCATATCACCTTCACGCCATATCGTCCGTCAAATCATTCAAAAAGCGTGCTAAAATTCATGAAGAAACCGATCAAACAAAAAATAGCTAATTACCTACTGGGATATCTCGGCACACCTCATGCAACAACAGGTCGGACACCAGCATTAATGTTGAAGAAAGAACATCTGCCCACTCACTTAGATCTACTAAAACCAGATATTCGTAGAGATGTCACTCAGCAACAGTTCAACAAGTCTCCTACAAGATATACTTCATGTGATTAACTCGACATAGGTGATCAAGTATCAGCACCCAACTACCGTCAAGGAACAAAATGGGTACCATAAATACAGATATAACCGGACATATTTCTCACAAAGTTGAAATCGAACCAAACGTCATATGGTGACGCAAGATTGACCAACTTCAACAGTCAAATATATTTTTGCAAAATAATTCTGATTTCATCACATCAACATACAACAATCAACTCCAGAAGCACACATAGATGATCAACCCAATGACTACACAAGAGTCTGAACGACACTATCCTGTCAGACAGAAAAGAGCTCTAGAAAGATTAGATTTATAGTTTTATAAAAAAAAATATGATTGTACTGTGCTCAGGGCAGAATAAACCCTGGACAATCATAAGAAGTTCAGAACAG